CATTAAAACTAGGGATCCTTAACCTGTAAATAACTTGTCAATAAAACTAGGGATCCTTAACCTGTAAATAACTTGTCAATAAAACTAGGGATCCTTAACCTGTAAATAACTTGTGAATAAAAACTAGGGATCCTTAACCTGTAAATAACTTGTCAATAAAACTAGGGATCCTTAACCTGTAAATAACTTGTGAATAAAACTAGGGATCCTTAACCTGTAAATAACTTGTCAATAAAACTAGGGATCCTTAACCTGTAAATAACTTGTCATTAAAACTAGGGATCCTTAACCTGTAAATAACTTGTCAATAAAACTAGGGATCCTTAACCTGTAAATAACTTGTGAATAAAACTAGGGATCCTTAACCTGTAAATAACTTGTGAATAAAACTAGGGATCCTTAACCTGTAAATAACTTGTCAATAAAACTAGGGATCCTTAACCTGTAAATAACTTGTGAATAAAACTAGGGATCCTTAACCTGTAAATAACTTGTGAATAAAATTGGGATCCTTAACCTGTAAATAACTTGTGAATAAAACTAGGGATCCTTAACCTGTAAATAACTTGTGAATAAAACTAGGGATCCTTAACCTTGTCAAACCTTGTTTACTGGTAATCCAGTAAACCAAGTGTAAAGAAAACTTTAAAAGGAGAACAGAGAGAGAGAGAGAGAGAGAGAGAAAGAGAGAGAGAGAGAGAGAGAGAGAGAGTGAAAGAGAATTAGTGTTGTCTCCGGCTTTGTGTTTAGGATAATTCTCAGTGACACTAAAGAGGCTGCTAGAGTGGTCCAGGACCATCATTACTGGAGCTGAAGTGGTCCAGGACCATGAATACTTGAGCTGGAGGGATCCATTATCATGAATACTGGAGCTGGAGTGGTCCAGGACCATGAGTACTTAAGCTGAAGTGGTCCAGGACCATGAATACTGGAGCTGAAGTGGTCCAGGACCATGAATACTGGAGCTGGAGTGATCCAGTATCATGAATACTGGAGCTGGAGTGGTCCAGGACCATGAATGCTTGAGATGAAGTGGTCCAGAACCATGAATACTGAAGCTGGAGTGGTCCAGGACCATGGAAACTGGAGCTGGAGTGGTCCAGGACCATGGATACTATACTAGAGCTGGAGTAGTCTGGGACTATGAATGGTGGAGCTGGAGTGGTCCAGGACCATTAACACTGGAGTTGGAGGGGTTGAGGACCATTAACACTGGAGATGGAGGGGTTCAGGACCATGAACGTAGCACCAGATGAGAGTATTTCCAATGCCTTGGAACAAGAACTCTATCGATTTCAGATACTCTGACATTTAGCATTTATCTCCCAGTATTACCAGAGTGCAATAAATTCTTTGTTCCAGGGAGGGTTAATGTGCTGGTGGCTCTCAGTGGCCCCTCAGTGGCCCTCAGTGGCCCTCAGTGCCTCTCAGTGGCCCTCAGTGGTCCTCAGTGGCCCTCAGTGGCCCTCAGTGGCCCTCAGTGGCCTTCAATGGCCCTCAGTGGCCCTCAGTGGCCCTCAGTGGCCCTCAGTGGCCCTCAGTGGCCCTCAGTGGCCCTCAGTGGCCCTCAGTGGCCCTCATTGGTCCTCAGTAGCCCTCAGTGGCCCTCAGTGACTCCTCAGTGGCTCCTCAGTGGCTCCTCGGTGGCCCTCAGTGGTACTCAGTAAGATTCAGTAGCCCTCAGTGGCACTCAGTGGCCCTCAGTGGCACTCAGTGGCACTCAACCACCTCCTTAACATACGTCTTGTTTGGTATGCTAATGTTGTCTGTGGCAGCAGTATACTGTTCTTGGTATATCCATACACCTGCTAGTATACTGAGGTGTGTATAGCTCTCAGTGTATATACACTGAGAGATGTATATCTCAGTGTATATACACTGAGAGATGTATATCTCAGTGTATATACACTGGTAATTTACATTAATCAGTATTTTAGGTATTAAAGTATTATTGACTGCAGTCTTAATGGCCCTCGTGTAGTAGATAGACTTCAAACCCCATTAACCAACCAACCAGTTTTAATGGCGCTCGTGTAGTAGATAGGGTTGAAACTCTGCTAACTACAAGGTTGTCTCTACTCAGCTGGTCTTGAGTGCCACCTGGAACTCTGGCTAATTGAGTGTTTTCTTATAATTAGCGGAAGGAGTATCGAGCCTGCAGCATTCAGAGGAGCATTTTATGTTTGTAAGCTTAGTCAGGTGAAGCTTAATTACCAGTGAGCTCCAGAGAGCTTTAATAATTGATTTATTGTGTTATTAAGGTCATTATGACACACACATGTGTACCTATACACACAAGTGTGTACACCTGCACACACACACACGTGTGTATACCTATACACACCCATGTATATATATATATATATATATATATATATATATATATATATATATATATATATATAATATATATATATATATATATATATATATATATATATATATATATATATATATATACATAAGGAACAGGATGAAGTTGCAGCCATCTGTGGGCTAGCATTTTCATCTGGTCAACTGACTTTATCTCGTTGACATCATTATGCTGTACGAATGGGTTCCATACTTGAGCCATCCTGGGTATATAT